ATATCCCTTTTTCTACCGACTAATCGCATAAACAATAATGATTTGGTCGTGAATTAAGTTAAGACTATTAATAAAATACTGTTATAACCCACTGTTAGACGCGAACAATAACAACGAAATACTGATATTATTATTACTCTTAATTTGGGACAACTTTTCTTCACTCAACCAAACATTTATCCCAAAGAATATTATTGTTAATATAAAAGCAATATTTTTTGTCAAATAACTTGTGTTTTTTATTTTTGTTGCAGAATAGCAGAAAATGTTTTTAATTAAATTCCTTGTAATGACAACAAATTATAAGCTAATTGTATAGTATTTTTGTGCCATTATATTGATAGCCAATGATATTTCAATCGTAATCTAAGTAATATGGTATAAAACGGTAAATATACTGTATAGATGTGAATTTCAAAAATTTCATTTATAACTAGTGTTCACAGAAATTTGGTTTTATTATTCTCTTAAAATTAGTGTGTTTTATTTGGTTTTATTATTTACAGCAAAAATTTGGTGTTATTTAGTGTTTCATCAATAATTTTTTAAAAATTTGGTTTTATTTGGTTTTATTTTTTAATGATACTTTTATTCCAGATGAATTAATAACGCATCATCCTCTTTGTGCTCTCTCATTGCCAAATAAATAAACTTTTATTTGAAATGTTTTTTCTTTTTGGTAATTTATTACCGAAAAACAATTAAATATACAAAACTATGCACAAATGTATGAGATAATTTTAAAAATTTGCAAACCAGGGGATAATTTGTCACATTATACGAATTAATAACGACAAAAAATTTGGTTTTATTTGGTTTTATTAATAAAACCAAATTGTATTATTTTTAAATTTCGTGTGTTTTATTTGGTTTTATTGGTTTAACCAAATAACTGTGAACACTATTTATAACATAAAATAACAATTATGTTAAATTAATTTAATAATTATGTTAAACATTAAACATAAAATGAAATATTTATTATTTTTATTATAGGTTTGCTATACATTTAATTTAATTTGTTAGTTGTCTTAGACATACATACCTGTACTCTATGTACATATAATGTATAACTTCTTATTAAAAGTGACATTAAATGAGAGTTTATATGATTTTTAATAGAAATCATTGGATAGTTTATTGGATTTCATATTTAATAAATTAATTATATATTTATTGGCTATAATTGAGTAGAAAATATTATTAATATATAAATAATTAATTTTTTTTTCGTTTGTGAAACACTTGTGTGAATTATACGTGATTTAAATGAAGATTGATGTGAAAAAATATTGTCTTTCTAATTGTTTTACGGCATTAAATATATTAAATTAAAATTAATGACAAACCTAACTCATTGTGTATATTTATATATACCATTGTATACCAAACAATGATTTTTGTTTCATTTTATTTATTTAAAACTAATTTAAAATTCAATACACTTTAGGACGTATAAGAAACTTAATTTAGATTAGTGTTTAACATAGTAGAAACTTTCACACAACTTTTCCCGTTAAAAATTTCTCCAACATTTTATTAAATTATTTATAAATTATATTTGATTAAAATATTAATATAATTAGTATTAATAAATAAATAATTAGCATTAACCAATAATTATAATGAAAATCAAATAAATATAAATTTTCTCCTATTTTTAGACATTTTCTTAGCACTATATGAGGTCTTAATTACATAGATCTATAGTTTTGTCATATAATGCCATAGAATAGTGTATATGAAATTCAATAATAGGATTAAAACAAATATAATACTCATCTTATTTAAGAATACAGACATAAATAGCAATTGTTTCAGTATTTAATAAGAATAAATTCAATTTGCATTTTAAAAGCATTGAAAACTTTCTTAAAAAACTAATATTGAACCAAATATTTGAAGAAAACTTCATGTTTTACGACAAGAATTGAATTTAAATAAAGCAAACATTATTTGAATAGAAATTGTCTGTAATTCTAAGTATAATATAAGAAAAATAAAGTTTATTGAGTAAAATCACACACATCTCAGACAAATGTGTATTCATTGCTCCGTTTTTGTTGCTTTTAGACATCTAAACTTGAAATTCAATTTTGAGCATAAAATTTAATAGTATTTTCAATTGAATATATATTTTAAAATTAAATCCTATATAATTACATGGAATGAAAACCTATTTTTATATAAATTACTTTAAAATTTAAATTTTATTACAAAAGAAAGTTTTTATATTTAGTGTAAACTAGAAGTTAATCATTGAAAACACTAAAAAGTTTCAATATTGGTCTCAAAAAATATAATTAAATAAATAAATAATGTGCGGAAAAGTATATAAAAATTTAATACAGTATAACAAAAAAATTCTGGTCATTGTATATAAGATATGATATAAGAGTTATATAATACAAGAATATGGTTTGAGTGGCAAATACGAGGCCGACATTAATACTAAATCTTTATTACATTCAATAAATAATACAATAATGCGATCCTTGAAGTGGACTGACGTATGAGATGTGGTTTCTCGTGGTGTCCATTAGGTTATCAATTAAGACAGTGATAGCCATTTAGATTAATATTGTTTGAAAATGATATTAAATTATATTTATGGTTAGCTTTTATAGTTTTTTCTTTCATTTTGTATACAAAATACAAATATTTTAGTTTTGCAATAATAATAATAATAATACAGAAAATACATTCCGTTAACACTTTCCTTAACGCCTCTGCGATTGTCATACCTTTGCTTTTTTTAGTGCATATCTTCTTCGTTGACTTCACTATACAATACTTATGCTTTATATTTGGCACAACTGTCTCATAGATTGTATCATCGATACGACTATTTTATATTCACACACACTCTCTGCCATATAATAGTGTTTGAGACATACATATGAATGCAATTTCCCGATAAAACACATCCATTGGAGAAAGTCTTTTGACATTTCCTTGAGCTCTGTTTTGGGAAATGTTGGGAATGAGTGCATCCAATCCTTTACTGTCTAATACAGTGTGTATACCGCAGACAACTTTATCATTTAAATCATATAATACTGCCTAAAGATTATATTCAGTGATTTTATATTGTTTTGACTTAACGTTTATAAATATCCCCCAAAACATTGTGACCAAAATCTAAAGGGATTCTGTTTTGTCTTTTTTTTTGTTATGCAAAATACTACTTATGCTAAATGAGAGAAACATTTTCAGTCGTTATTTTCCTTTATTAGTTGTGTTTCGCATCCAATTTGTCTAAATCTCAGGCATTAGTCTCTCTTCTTCTCTGCACTCAATTCTGTGTCTAAATTCTCTTTTTGGCCAAAAAAAAAGAAAAAAATAGGAAATAATAAAAAGCAAATAGTTTTATGAGTTTACGACTGAAACCTTCAATAAATGCAATTCATATCAATGTTTTTTTGTGAATTTGTTGTACATTAGAGAAAAACATTAGAGTGTAATGTAAAACACGGCGTAAAGTATGAAACAAAAAAATTAATATCTAATAAAACACAAAAAGATAATTAGTTGTCAATCGATATGTGTATAAAATAATGTATTGTTTAGTCTACTTTATTGTCCAGTGTTGTAGCATTTGTTATGTTTGGATATATTAATGCCAAAGTATTTACAACTATTAATTTAAATTATTTTTTGATTTAAATTTATAAACAAGTTTAAGGTTTAAGAATTTAATTCGCATAATACTGTTGAAAATTCAATATTTTGACCAAATTCTGCATAAATTCTGTATTCATTATTCTCGTTGTAATATTATGTCGAAAATGATATATTTTTCCATTAATATTATAAATAATGAAATTGAAAAACCAAACCTATGCTAAAATAATCCGATATAATTAAAAATCCAATTTAATTTAAAACATTAGTTGATAAAGAAAATATTATACTATACTGTATGTAGTAAATTGAGTATAATATAAAGTTTATATTATAAACGAAAAAACACATTCATTAATAATTTATACAATTATAGAGTAAAACATAATATTGATCCGAATAGACGTGATATAACTGCAGAAAAACATTTAAAAATATAAATTAATTTTTTAAATGGAGAAAAAAGAATCGGTATTTTATAATAATAATAAAATATATTAATTTTTTGTTTAGTTGCAGCAAAAACCATAGGAATATGTGGAGAGAGAGAGAGAGAGAGAGAGAGAGAGAGAATGACAGGTTTGGTTTGACATAAAGAGAAAAGTATAATAACATTGGGTTTAGTCATAAATTTTAATGTATTTTCTTTACAACACATATTGAGAACAACAAGAAAATTCTTGCGATAATAAACTCGCTTTTGTTGTCATCATATTCTAAGTCTTCATTTTTTCCTTCTCTTCACTATATTTTCACTTAACAATATATTTCCTAACTATCCTTTCTCTCTCCCTCTCTCTCTCTCCTCTTCTCATCGACCCTATTATACACTGCCGGTGCGATCACTACATGATGTATATAACATATTACACAATATCTATAACAGAGTATGGATTAGACGTCGGGAAGAGGCGATACCGACTCGTAAAGAAGAGGTACAAGAATTGGGTTATAGAGACTACGTTCCCGATCGGAAAGAAGGCGACAAAATTGAGACCTTAGATGAAGTGATCAACAGAATTAATGCCATTATTAGAGACGGAAAGTTTGAAGGAAGGATTGTCTCCATTGAATGTCTTCCCTGCGAATCCACTGGTGATCACCGCTTTGATCCCGAGGTATGGCATCCAAAACATGCAAATACTCTCTAACACACTCGCTCTCATTATGCCTTCAAATGGTTTATACTCTTCAAGAGTATAACATTACAACGAAATCTCATTTAAAAAGTCTTTAATTATTTGGCAAACAAAAAAGGGATCACTTTTTCCCCGATGTTTGGCCGCATTTATTACAGACTCTCAATGAAGAACCGCTTTGAGAGCTTTAATTAAGTTTTTTTGTTTTGGGTTTAGTTATAGCAAACCATTTGAAACGTTAGACAAATACAAAGACTTAATTAGTTGAATGTAATACACGTTATATACGGTATAATAGGAGTAATGGATAGGAAGGAAATAGTATTTATAAGCAATTAAATACACTTAAACCTATCGTTTGTCTCATTTAATCATTTAAATAAAATAATGGCTTTTTATGTCTAATGATTCATAATCCGCATGAAATGCAAAAACCATTCATTCATTCATTGATTTGATTTACTTTTAAACTTCAATTTCAATATCTAATGAATGGTGAAAATAAATGCCATAATTGTCTAAATCTCTTCATGTTTATGACATAAAAATTTACATATTTTTAAACATTATTTAAATTCCTTTCAAACAATAAAACGATTAGAAAAATTTCAATATTGATTTTACATGATTAAAATTTTTAGGCTATATTTTTAGGAATATTTTTTAATAAAAATTTTCCGTTATTTAAAATATTCTTGAAATATGAAGCCAACAAATTTTGTTGATAAAAATTCTTTAGATTTTCAAAATAATTTGTCCAAACATTTAATAATTTGTAGCAATAAATCATTTGATAGTTTATGCGTTTTGTGAAACTCAATAGTCGTTATTAGGCTAACCATCACTTTATTATACGGTTAGCAAATGTATGGCCATCTATAATATAGCCAAATATAATGGCCTAATGTTTTGATACATTAATAATCGATTGAATAATGCGTTTTCGCGAGTCTATCGTCTCGATAATGACGAGAGAGAGAGAGAGAGAGAGAGAGCGAGAGCCATGATTAGTGTGTTTTGTATATACTCAGGCAACCCTTCCGGGCTCGTCGGACACGACGGTCACAATCGTGAGGATATACTACGAGTGCGGGCAGTCATCTGAAGAGGAGATAGGGATCGCGGACTTCGTTCCCCTTCACCTGTCGGGCGGTTCGCTGTTCTCTCGGCCCGAGTTTGAGACCTTCGACCACGTGATGACTCGCGCCTCCCGTTGGCTATCAGAGAATCCGGAGATTAATTTCCGGAGCGCTCTCTCAATCGATTTCAAACTCAAATCCAGTCAGTAATCAAATCAATCACTAGTTTTATATAATATTCTGTATTCCGTAGAATATTCTGTATACTTGTATAGTTTAATATTGTATTATATGTTTAATATAATGTTTCGTATAGTTTTTGTTTTGAACGTTTTCTTGTTTTAGCATATATTTTATATATAATTAAATTTTCATTTTAAACATCAATTTTTAAATATAATACCGTATAAGTAATACTTTATAGCTCTAACAATATAACGCTTGTAAGAGTTTTATATTAAGTAATGTCAAAAATAAATCCCAAATCGAAAATATGTACAGAAATTCAAATTAATATTATAACAATTTATAGTAAGTCGGCGTGAATTCAATGGATAAAAAGCAAAGTCTTGTTTTTTCATACAAACAATTTATTTGAATTAAACAATAGTGAGAGAGAATAGTATGAAAGCCTTAAAAAGCCTTTTAGTTATGTCGCTCTTATAAGCCAACAATTTTAACGCATAAAATCCCATAAAAAGTCTAATTAAAGTGTCGTGTATTTACTTGAGTATTTATCTAATACTCAATATAACGTCTAATATAGTGTTTTAAAAGACATAGATATTTATAAAATATGCTAAAGAAAAGCCTTCATTGTAAATTAAGATATTTAATTAATCAATATGAGAATTAAATACTGAAATAACATTTATGAATATTAGTTTAACAAAAGTGTTTGCATGAAATTAGTGACCACTTTGGACACCCGGATCCTGACGGCGACGGACCAGGCGGGCGACTTCGTCCGCATATTCCGTATCGCTTACACCAAACCGTTTGACGTCTCCGAAGACATCGAGCGGTCGGCATGTCTTCCACCGCTTCCTCCCATTTATCTCTATTCGCGAATGTTTTTACTCAAGTCTAGAAACTATGCGGACCTCAAAAAAGTGATCAGCGATTGGTATAACACAGAGATCGCGGGCCGAGTAGACGGCGGCAACAATTGCGTCGACACTGTGTCCGGCAATTCTGGCTCCGGTTCCGGTTCGGGCGAGTTTACCGATATTGTGGCCGAACCGTCCACTTCCAAGTAATACTACATTCATGATTTATCTCGAAAACATACTTAACTAATTGATTTGTACTTCAGATCTAAGTGTCAACTGTTATCGTGCGAAACGTTGTCAGTATTTGCCAAAAATCAGACGGGATTTGAGGAGAGTTTCAATTCAAACCGAGTCGGCGCCCGAAACCGGTGCACATTCATCGCCGTCCGACTCTATTACGATTCCGGGTATCACTTGAATAGAGTCCGACAGTCGGGAGTGAACAACAATAACAACATTCCGCACACTTCTTGCGCACCAAAACTTGAGAAAAAGTCGTCGTCTTCTTGTGATATCAGCTGAACATTTGATTGAGACGTTTCTTCGGCTCTCTTTCTCTCTCTTTATATATCTTTTCACTTTCGATACCAAAACCAAACAAAAATTCATGTTTTTCTCTATCAATCTTATTATGATTATTATTATAATAAATATATTTCTTATATTCACTAAATATATGCACAAAACAACTTATAAATCATTAAATCGTAACAATTTACATGTAATCATTTAAATCCAATTTTCATTTAAACTGAGATTTTTCTTTATTGGGATTATTTAAATACATTTTTTAATAAAAACAAACATCTCTATAGACTGTCGGCAATGATTGAGTGGATTAACTGTAATGTGTAAATCAAATTGAATATAAGCACACATTTTGTATTCAAATGAAACGGTACTAATGTTTTGTAATGTTATTAATTTTGACACAATATTTAAATACTTGACATTTACGACATGTCTAATACTATTACGATTATTATTATTATTACTATTAAATCCCAAATACATTTTATGTATATATATTTTATTGAAACAGTATATGCCTTAAAGCCATTGTTAAAAATTATGATAAAGTTATGCGAAAATTTTATTTAAATCCAAATAATATATAATTTAATGAACAAATTATATCAATACAATTGAGTTCCTCTTCAGGGCTCGCATTATATAAATGTTCACTAAATTTAAGCACAAAATAAAATGAAAAAATAATTAAAATTAAATTAAAACCGTTGACGAGTTATAAATTTATTAATTAATAATTTCCAAAAATAAATATAATTTTGTATTCAATTGAATACTAATATTAATTCGTAAACATTGTGTGGGATTTACTGCAAAAGGACTGCAAACAACACAATTAAATATAAGTAAATCATGTTTATTATCATCTAATGATTTCTGTCAATTGAATCCCACGCCAATGCCTACTGTTAAGCGTTTATAATTTGTAATATAAATGTTAATCCTATAAAATATATATTATTGAAAATTTAAACCAAATACAGGGTTAAAACTAATTTTCCTTAACGTATGTTTTATACTTAACTTTTTGCATCTTTTAGTCAGTAATCAACACTACTGTTATGTCATGAGTAGCGAAACCAGAAAGTTGCTAAAAAGTTGCATTTTCTAAAGTTCAATACAATAGTTTCAATCAATTCCATTTACAATAATGATTATCGAAACTATTTTATGAGTATAACATTAATTGAATAGATGATTTTTTGTGGGTCTTTGACTAATTAACAACTTTTATAAGCCTGGTACTATATTACTCATCGTATGGTTTCTTTAGTCATGAGTCATGACATTTGCATTTGAGATTAAAACAGATTATTTTGAGACAAGATATTACAGTAGAATATTTTTGTCAGAGATATATTTGCGAGATAATAAATTATGACAATTAATTGATTTTGTTGACTATTGTTTGCTATGAATATAACAAGGATTATAAATAACTCACATACAGGGATGCTATACGTTAACCACAATTGAGGTATTGCTTAAAGGATCCCATAAACTTACCATTAGGGGACCGAACGATTCTATTAACCACATTATTAATATCTAAATTGTGATAAAATTGTAAAGTTTATAAACTTAATTGAATATAACAATAATTTAGTATAAGAGCCGCATTTGATTGCTTTGCAAGTTTACTTGAAACTTGAGTATAAATTTTAAATACAGTATTTTAAAAACTTTTACATTATAATTATTATATAATTTTTTCGGTATATTTCGCTTTATATTTTCTTTATATCAATGATATCTTATTATTGCAGAACATTTGTTGGAATAAATACTAGTTTTATTCAAAACTATGGCTAAACCTTTAAACAAATGTAATTAATACACAGATTAATAGGGGTTTAGCAAATAAATACTGTTTATCGGGCAAACATTTTACACAACTATGCATTACATTAAACATAAAAATAGTAAAGTTCTTAATATTTCAAAAATTGCGAAATTTGCCAAAAATCTCACAATTACTGTTAGTTTAGTACAACTACTTTATATAAATAATTGTGTTTACTCTTTCAAGTTAGCATACAATCTAAATTAAATATTCTATCAATATTTAATATTTTGCAACATAAGCATGATTGAAAATACCATCATAATTTTATATTTAAAATTTTGTTTGATATTATAATTTAAATTTTATTTTTATAATTTATTTAACTATACGAATAAAGTATATTTATGAGACGATTATATTGTAATATATTGCCTAAACCTTAAGTTTTAAGTTAAAACTTTAAGTTTTAACTTAATGCAATAATTGTAATTCAAATCAAAAATGCAGTTGTATTGCAAAATGGGTCTATACATGTGGGTCTGTACTAACCTAGCAGAAATATAATAAAATAAACCTGGTTGGCATAAATTATGATACAATTTAGTAATCTTTATATAAAACAATTGTATTATTGCTGTCATTATATCAAATGTATCGAAAATTTTTAGAGCTTTCCTACATTTGAGTGAACGACAAAAACCACAGGATTTGAAAATAACATTTTATATGTCTTAACACATTTGATGCAAACATTTTAGATCGTAACCACATTTTATATAATAATTATTATAGCATAAAAATATTGTTATTTATAACTTTTAAAAGTTATAATAAAAGCAAAAATTAATTATAAAAATTGAGACGTTTATTCAACGTTATATTATTATTATTGATATTCTTAAAAATATTGTTACATTCATGACATAGAGGTTCATTACATTGAATAAAGCAAAGCATTTTTGGCGTTTAAAAACATTGTAACGAAAGAATAATTAACTGTTTTCTAGACCAGAAAACGAAAGAGAGAAAGTGTGTTAGAGAGAGAGAGAGAGA